AACCCCTCTCGTGTCCTCCCCCCGAACCCCTCTCGTGTCCTCCCCCCGAACCCCTCTCGTGTCTCCCCCCCATCCCTACTGGATCCCCCTTGCCCTCTGCCTCCCCCCCAGACGGAGATCATGCGGAATGAGTTCGAGCGCCTGGCGGCCCGGCAGCCCCTGGAGCTGCTCAGCATGAAGAGGTGGGTGAGCGGTGCCCGCCCCAGGTGAGCGGTGCTGGCACAGGAGCGGTGCCCCCGGGTGGGGAATGCCCCCAGGTGAGCCGTGCCTGTTGCAGGTACGAGCTGCCAGCCCCGTCCTCGGGGCAGAAGAACGACATCACGGCGTGGCAGGAGTGCGTGAACAACTCCATGGCCCAGCTGGAGCACCAGGCCGTGCGCATCGAGAACCTGGAGCTCATGTCCCAGCACGGCTGCAACGCCTGGAAGGTGTACAACGAGTAAGGCCCTCAGCTGAACCCAGTTCTGAGCTGAACTGCTGTGTGTTTGTTGTGTTTTCCTGTGTGAGTCCTGCAGGGTCTTTGGAGTATGATCTGGAATAGTTCAGGAACATAATCTCCCTGTGAGAGCTGTGAGTGCAAGAGGAGGCTGATCTGAGGGAGAAGAAGCTCTCTCTGTGGCCAAGGAACAGCCTGTGTTCTGATACATCCCAGTCTTGAATTTTGTGACTATTGGTGATAATGGACTTTAAACTGAGGAGAACTAAAGGGACTAAAGACAGAGAAAGAATAATTCAGTAGTGGAAATAAAGATGAACTTACTACTCGTAAAGATGAACTTGCTCAGCCTGGAGCATAATAAAGCTGCTGCAAAAGCCATTGCTGCAGGAAACACCAGGGCTGTTTCAGGCAGAGAATGTTAATGCTTGTTTTTGAGAAGGGTTGGCTCAACCTTAGATAAAGGAGTAGGCAGAAGGAATGCAAAACCCAGCTCTGAGAGAAGGCAAAGGGTTGCTTAGCTCAGGAGAGAGGGAGCAGGTAGAGGGTCTGTTATCCAGAACAGTGTGTTTGGGTTGCACTGGCTTGTTGTATCCTTAACTCTGGAGGGTTAAATGTCAGGTTAAATGACATTTTAACTCAGCAACTGTGTGGTTTTCTAACGCTTTGCTTGCATTCTGCCATCAGACACCTGGTTCATATGATAGAACAAGCCCAGAAAGAGCTTCAGAAGTTGAGGTGAGTCATTCATGTTTCCACGCTGAAATTGGATTCCTACTGAAATTCTTCTCCCAAGCTTTACAAAGACTGGTGTATGTGCTGCTGCCATGATCACAGGAAAAAAGACTCAGTGATATCAATAATTAAGAAATGTGACCCTGCCCTCCCCAAGCAGTTACATTCATAATGCCTGTTCTACTCAAAATTCTGTGTTTCATTTGGTTTGGTTGGCTTTATCTTATGTCTGAACTTCTGCTCTGGAT